TATGGGTGTGTGTGTGTGTGTGTGTGTGTGTGTGTGTGTGTGTGTGTGTGTGTGTGTGTGTGTGTGTGTGTGTGTTGTTTTTGCAGTGAGTTTGAGAGATTTCGGGGTCAAAACTTTCAATGGTCCTGAGCAAAACCTCATAATGAGATCATGACACATTCATAGATATGATGCTTTCTCATTAAACACTCTCACGTTAAATGATCCGATATGATGTGCTTGTCAGGCTAACGTCAGCTAGCATGCTAGTGTGAGTTTACAGGCGCTTCAACATTCATAATTATAACAGATATTAACAGCGTTTTAATGATTTTATTATATACTGTGTGCTTGAATATAATAGTGCAGCTCTGTATAATGTTGATTTTATTAAAACAGTTCATTAAGTTTATTTCTGTCAGTAAAATCTATGAGCGTGTTGTTAACTGTTACAAGTTAATTCATTCTGTTGTTTTCTGCTTGAATCAGTATTAATGTGCTCTAGTTTTTTTCCCCTGAATTGTTTGTATTTAGTTGCTCCAACAAGTTGTAGGCCTAATATTTATACTTCTGTCCTCCTATTATTGTTTCTAATTATTTTTAAATATAATCTTTAAAAATGTATAATTATTTTATGAATTATGTTGTTTATATTTATGTTGAATTAATTCAATACTTTTTTTGAAACTAAGATTTTTATTATTTTCTTAAATATTTATTTTTACATTATTTAAACTAGATTGCTTTATCTTTTCCTTATGCAACTATTTTGAATCACTTTAAATTAGCACAATTATAAATGTGTATAAAATGTGTTAAAGTAAATTGTCTTGCCTAGTAGTGGTGGTAGTTATAGTGATGGTGGTTTGCATGTGAAGTTTATTAGTCTGGTGTAAGAAGACACTTGTTGCAATAAAAATGTAATTGGTGGTGTTGGTTTGTGTTGCTGTGGTGTGTTTGTTTTTCAAAAAAGCATGAGTATGTTGCGTATTTAGTTTTGTTGATGTGTTTGTTGCTGAAATCTTCTGCTGTTTCTCTTACAGTCCAAGTGGCAGAATGGCTTCGGACTCGGTCTCTCAAAGCTCCCAGAGTCCTGCCACCAGGATCATGACCTTTCATCCCACAAGAGAGGAGTTCAAAGACTTCAACAGATACATTGCGTATATGGAGTCGCAGGGGGCTCACAGGGCCGGGATGGCTAAGGTTAGTGTACAAGATTCTCATTCAGCTCAAAATGCTGAGAGAGACTGTTTTTTGGGTGTTGTGGATGATCATTGAAGGTTTGCTGACTGATGTGCTTGTTTGTCAGGTGGTGCCACCCAAGGACTGGAAGCCCCGGCGCACATATGATGACATTGATGATCTGGTGATTCCCGCACCGATTCAACAGGTGGTCACTGGCCAATCAGGTCTCTTCACTCAGTACAACATCCAGAAGAAGCCGATGACCGTCCGCGAGTTCCGCAAAACTGCCAACACAGACAAGTGAGCAGCAAACGCTGAGATGTTTAGATACGGTTCAAGCCTGATGCCCAAAGAACTGTTTAAAATCAGAATTAGCCATAATTAGCATCTTAATAAATGTTCCTGGTGTTATTATGCAGGATTAATCAATGCAAATTATTTTAAAATAATAGTAATAACATTCTGCACCGATGACGTGACTGTTTCTTTTTTGCTGATGTAACTACATTGCTATTCAGAGTTTGGAGTCTGCATTTATTTGATCAAAGAATACAGAAAAAAACAGTAATATTGTGAAATATTATTAGAATTTAAAATAAATGCTTTCTATTGTAATATATTATAGAGTATAATTTATTTCTGTGATCAAAGCTGTATTTTCAGCATCATTCCTCCAGTCTTCAGTGTCACATGATCTTCAGAAATCAGTATAATATGCTGCTTTGCTGCTCAAGAAACATTTCTGATTATTATCAATGTTGAAAACAGTTTCTGCTTCATATTTTTGTGAAAACGGTGATACATTTTTTTCAGGATTCTTTAATTAATAGAAAGTTCAAAAGAGCAGCATTATACAAGAAACCTTTTGTGACATTATAATTTGATCATTTTAACGCATCCTTGAAAGTCATCATTTCTTTCGAAAGCACTAGTTCAAAAAAGTACTGACCCCAAACCTTTGAATGGTAATGTAAGTCTGATTGAACAGAGAAACAAACTATTATCCAATAATATCCTAGCCTACTTTTCAAATCTTGATGCATAAAAGTAAATCCCTTAACATTATTGCTCATTGTAAATTCTTTTTCACTCTGAGATACATCAAGTTGATGCTAGGGCTGCACGATAAATCGAAATGGAATCGAGATCGCGATTCGACAGAAGCTGCGATTGTCATGCGTATCTTTCAGTGAAGCACGGTTCTGTGATCAGCAGTAAATCTCCATCCGAAGGCCAGAGAAACTCCAAATACGCCTCGCAGAAGAAACCCAGAAAATGGCTATCGCTGCAGCTGAATAAACAGAAGATTCAACTGCTTTCATTGATTCAACGTGACTAATAAACACACGACTACGGCAATATACGGTTTATCTGAGTTCTTATTATAATTTTCATTAAAATAAAGTATATTTATAATGCAATGCCTTTATCACTGCTTAAATACTATGAAATATGTTGCGTGCCTTATTCTGTGTAAGAAGCCACGTCATCTCACAGAAGGATTTATTTCAAACACTCGACTGACGTTATGAAGTGAGTTTGGAGTAAAAACATGTTATTAAATGTGGTATTTTCACATGCTTTCAGATGGAGCAGCATTTACTTCACAGAGCCGTAGTTCACTGAGAAGCTGTGTTGTTTCAAAATCGTAGATTTTTTTGAGTAACTTGTCAGTGAACTACGGCTCTGTGTAGTAAATGCTGCTCCATCTGAAAGCACGTGATGATGATTTCCTGCTGATTACAGAACCGGCTTTACTAACTAAATGCGCATGACAATCGCATTCGATTAATCGTGCAGCCCTAATTGATGCATTGAGAATGTCATATCATGTTGACTGTCACCATAATAAAATGGTTCTGTAACTCGACTGCAGGTTCCGTAATCCCAGATATGCTGATTTTGATGAACTAGAGAGGAAATTTTGGAAGAATTTAACATTCAATCCACCACTATATGGGGCAGATGTCAGTGGAACCCTCTACGAGCCAGTGAGTAATCTGCCCTTTTTATTAATGAAGTATTTTTCACTATTAGGTTTCAGTTACAACCGTTGTTTACAGTGTGATAATACTATAGTGTAATACAATGATTACAAATATGTTCCTGACTGTATACAGGATGTGACGGAGTGGAATATTGGTCGTCTGAACACTATTTTGGACTTGGTGGAGAGAGAGAGTGGAATCACAATCAAAGGAGTCAACACTTCATATCTTTATTTCGGGATGTGGAAGAGCACGTTCGCCTGGCACACAGAGGACATGGATCTCTATAGCATCAACTACCTTCACTTTGGAGAGCCCAAGTCCTGGTAATGTCACAACTTGTATGGATAGGAATGTAATAAATCATGTTTTTGGTCAGCATTTTTGCTATTATTATAGTTTCTTTATAGTAGGCCTATATTTTGTTGTCTTTTTGGCAGATTCATTTAAAAAACAAGCTCATTTGTTCATATTCACTACCATTCAAAAGTTTCTAAGATTGTTTTTTTTATAATTTTTTTTTTATATATATATATATATTCATCAAGGATGCATTACATTGATCAGAAGTGACAGTAAATAAATTTATAATGTTATAAAATATTTATATTTCTAATAAATGCTTTAACTTTCTATTCATCAAAGAATCCTGAAAAACAATGCATCACGCTTCCACAGAAATATGAAGCAGTACAGCTGTTTTCAACATTGATAATAATCTGAAATGTTTCTTAAACAGCAAATCAGCATATTAGAATGATTTCTGAAGATCATGTGACACTGAAGACTGGAGTAATGATGCTGAAAATACAGCTGCGCATCACAGAAATAAATTACATTTGAAAATATATGAAAATAGAAAGCAGTTATTTTAATATATCACAATAATAGTTTTTATTGTATTTTTTTGATCAAATAAATGCAGCCTTGGTGAGCAAATGAGACTCTTTTTTTCAGCTTAAAAAAGCTTACTGACCCTAATAATATTCATACTGTCCTAAAGAGGTTTTAAAAGCATTATTACTTGGTCTCTTCTGCAGGTACATTGTGCCTCCAGAACATGGGAAACGATTAGAACGTCTTGCTAAAGGTAAAGTGGTCTTCTGAAAACATACCATTTGTTCCTCCTCCTCTTCAGCTGCTCATTAACTCAGTATTTTTAAACATTTTCATTCATGCAGGATTTTTTCCTGGAAGTGCTCAAAGTTGTGAAGCCTTCCTGCGACACAAAATGACTTTAATTTCACCGTCAATTCTGAGGAAGTATGGAATACCCTTTGAGAAGGTCAGTTACTTGATCTTTATCGTCTTATCATGTCATTGCTGATTTTATCTCATGACTTGACTTCTTTCTGCTTAATTCATCAGGTCACACAGGAAGCAGGCCAGTTCATTGTGTCCTTCCCATATGGATATCACGCTGGGTTTAACCATGGCTTCAACTGTGCAGAATCCACCAACTTCGCCACCCAGCGCTGGATCGATTATGGAAAGCTGGCAACATTAGTACGTTATTTCGCATTCATGGTTTACCCTCAGTTTTGGAGGACAAGTATGTTCAAGTATGGTATCGCAGATATGTTTTTGTTTGTTGATGTGCGTCTCTTTCTCAGTGTTCCTGCCGGAAGGACATGGTAAAGATATCAATGGATGTGTTTGTTCGCAAGTTCCAGCCAGAACGCTATAAACTTTGGAAAGCAGGAAAGGACAGTGTGCCCATCGACCACTCAAAGCCCACGCCAGAGGCAGCAGAGTTCCTGACAGATGGAAAGACCGAGAATGAGACAGGAGAGCTCAGCGATAGCTGCAAAGCAGAAACACAGGAGAAGCCAGGAGAAGCAGAGGCTGGAGAGGAGCAGAAAGCAAACACGGATGGTGGAGAGGACGACAAGACTGAAACGTTGAAGAGTGAAACAGATGGTGCAAAGGAGAAAGCAGAAGCAGAGAAAGGAGGTCTGGAGGTAGAGGAGAAGAAGCCTGTTATTGATGAAGAACCGAGCGGCACTTCAGAGCAGATCAACAGGTGTGTAAAAAGAAAATACGTGGCCGTTTTCACAATCTCCATCTCAGATGCTGATGGGAGTTTGGTTTGCTTTTAGTCTGTGGTTCATTTGCTCACATAGTGCATTAGGGTTGTGAGATATCGCCTGTGGCTGATGCCTTTGACGATATCAAGATGATGATGATTATTATTATTATTAGCAGGCTAGTATTATTATCTAATTAATATTAGGGCATAATAGTTCCATCATATTTCTTTTTACGTGTTTTTAAAGTGTTAAAAACACGCTAGACTGAAGTCAGTGATGATGTTCTTTGATAATGTAGTAAATGTTCTTTGCCCGTTTTCTGTAGTTGCTGTTTGAATAACTGAGGAAATGTAAGCATTATAAACTTATAAACAATGTTTTTATTTTATTATCATCTTAAATACAAATTTAGTCCTATTAAAAATATATTTTATGACGTGACATCCATATGCTACTTTTTTTCTTTTCTTTTTTTTTATGTGTCATATTTCATATGCTACTTGACTAAAAAGATATAATGTGTAGTTAATAATTACACTGACATTAGGCTGCTTTTAGCCGTACCCTGCCTGGGTACTCTCCGGCTATGAAACTAAGTAAATAATTAAATAAATTAGCATGATAATATCGTGTATCGGCCATCTCACAGGCCGACGATAGGACAATATGACTATGGAGCATATCGCCCAACACTATAGTGTATTATGAATGTGAAATGCTCAAGTCCTCATTCACATAATTCCAGACATTTTTTGGTTATTACAAGCTACTATACAAATCTAACCAGTGCAAAACTTTATGGACATAGAAGGAGCTTTTCTTAAGAAAAAAAAAAAACATTGACAACTACACACAGATGTTGTTATTTTTAGCTAAAACTATTAAACATTGTTTCCGTTACTTGCAATAGAGCTGAAATAAATGATAAATATCAGGTGAAAACAAACTTAGCTGAAAATTTGAAATGTTGCAATGGCAACTAATTTATTACTTAATTACTAAAACTGAAATAAAAATTAATAGCTAAATAGAAAAAAAAACTACAATTTAAATGAAAAGTGAATATCAAAATACAAGCTTATTCAAAATATTAAATGCTATAAATATTACTAAAATAACACACTTTTAGCAGGATATGCTAAAAGATACAGTAATTGACTAGAATGCTAGATTTCTAAAACTAAAGTTTAATTGAAAATGTAAAAAATGCATTCTGCCTTTCAGTCTTCCAGCAGTAAATGTACCATAAACAAGATCTTTAATTTTTATGGTATAACACAATTTGTTGCACTTCTCCTGAGGGCTACATCTCTTGCTTTAGAGCACAATGTTGATAGTTAATGCAAAAAACAAAAAAAAAATTTTTTTTTTTTTTTTTAGTCTTCTGATTTCCCTTCTCTTCATACAGTAGTAGTCCAAAGCAGAATGTGGGGCAGAAGCGGCTCAGACCCAGCCCTGACAATGGAGCAAAAGAAAACGACAATCAAGTGAAGGTAGAAGAAGAGGAAGTTGAGAAGAAGAAAGCCAAACTCAGCCAGACTGAGACAGACGACAATAATGAACAATCCATCTCCACTGAACCAGGTAGAGCCTCATATACAGCAAATGATACACAGGTGATGCGGTAATAAAAATGCTAAAACAACCAATGTGTATTTCTGCAGGTGATGTGCAAGCTGAAGAGATGATGGGGACAGACATGCCCCCACCACAAAAGCAAGAGAATCAAGCCCCTTTCTGCATGAAGGTGGCGCTCTCGCCATCAAACCCCACCTCCAGCAGTGATGTCACAATGCAGCAAAGAGACATCGTCACTCCCTCTGAACCCAGCGACGTCACCTCATCCTCACAATCCACAAACAGCATCGTTGATGATGAGGATCCGAGCAGTAATGTTACCTCTCAGTCCGAGCACGTCACTCAAAGCTGTGATGTCCAATGCAAGCCCGATGACATCAATCAAAACGGTGACCTCACTGATGCCCAGCAGAGTGAAGTCACGTCCCATTCGTGTTCCAGTGACATCCCTGCCACTGACATCACACCTCTCATATCTGTAACCAGCAGTATCTCCTCTCTACATGGCATTAACTCCGCCCACACCTGGGATGTCTCCGCAGAACCCAGCGACAGCACTATAAATACCATCATCCCTAGACCATGTGAGCCAGGCAATAACTCCTCCCACACCTATGATGGCCAACCAGAACCCAGCGACATCACATTCAGCCCTAAACACGAACCCGGCATTAACTCCGTCCGCACCTGTGATGCCCAACCAAAACTCAGCAACATCACCCTCAGCCCTAAACACGAACCCAATGTTAACTCCGCCCACAGCTGTGATGTCACCACAGAACCCAGTGACATCAGGGTCAGCCCTGAACACGAACCCAGCATTAGCTCCACCCACAGCTGTGATGTCCAACCAGAACCCAGCGACAACACTATCAGCGCTGATCACGAACCCAGCATAAGCTCCGCCCACAGCTGTGATGTCCAACCAGAACCCACTGACATTACCGTCAGCGCTGAACACAAACCCAGCATTAGCTCCGCCCACATGTATGATGTCATCACTGAACCCAGCAGCAGCGCCATCAACCTTAAGCTAGGCGAGTCGCAGTGTAGCGCTGCGTCAGTGGGCGGCAGTCAGGTGTGTCCGCCTGCAGTCCAGCACATCTTCCAGAGAACACTGAGCCCCGCAGAGGTGCTGCACGTCCATAGCTACGCTAAAGGAGATTACAGCAATTTCGAGCCACGCATTCGGCATGAGAGAGACCGAGACAGCGACTCTGATAGCGACTCTCAAGAGGACAGCAAGGTGCGTATGTGCCGTCTGACTCACTATTCACTAAAGGAATAGACTGCCACAGGGGTGGCATTATTTTGTAGACCAACCTTTAAGTTTGCATCACCCTGGTTCCCTTGACAAAATGCTAATAGGGTGTTTCCACTGGTTTTTGGAAAGTAAGCTGTGACCAAGAAAAGTTTATGATTCTTACATGTTTTGTTCATCATGATAATCTTCACACATAAACACAACTTCTATGAATTTCGCTGCCTAAATACAATCTCCAGATGTAAAAATCTAAAGTTAAGATACAAACGAACTACACCACAATCACTCAACTTCAAAGTCACCCTTACTAAGCTTCCAACAACTCTTTAAGTCTTTATTTATAAAAAAAATAATAGTAAATTGCAGGAGCACTGATTAGTCTGTAAAAGCGACTAGTGAGTAGATGAGTTCAATGACCTCAACAGTCTCTGTATTCCCATTTAGCCACTTGTTAGCAACCACATTTTTTAAAGACAAGTAAAAAAAAAACATTAGTGAGGTGTTACTCATGAATTTTATGTTGTTGAATAAAACGTGAAAAAATCTTGAGCTTGTGTTCACCACAGACTTTATTTCAGGCATTTAACCAAAAACCCATTCAAAAAACCCATTGACAGTGGAACCAGAAGGTTTTAGGACTCATTCCTGCAGCACTTTATAGTGCAAATCAGTTAACAGTGTAAACACGTCCACAAAATTAACGCTAGATGTATTTCTCCTTCTTGAATGCCTGTGCTGTAGATTGTGGAGGATGCAGTAGACTCCCTTATGCTAGCAAACTATGCTGGTACTATACAGCATCACTCCACTGCCACAGTCCCAGCTATTTAAAATGATGAAATTGCACTCAACTGCATCACGTGTCTGGATAGATGCCCGCTTACAGTGCTCTTCATCATCTGATGAATAACTCCTGCCACCAATTAATGATGCGCATGAACATCTCTCTTAATAGTTTGTGTGCCACCTGGTTTCCAGGAGCAGTAGTAGTGTGATGTTAATCACTCCAGGCAATATAATGATATAATAAGCTAGTTTACATGGATAGGAAAGTGATTAAAATAATGACAATAACTCCATTAAATACTCAACAATAACAGCAACAGTAAATGCATTTCCATGCATTTAGCTCTGAAATTGTGAGTAGATAGTGAAGGAGATACAGACCCATCATAAATTACTAGGGGGTTTGTGAGCTCTTGTTTGGGAAACCCTGTTGTATTTTGTGTGTGTGTGTGGCTGCGTGTAATGAGTGCGAGTTTGTGTTGTCCTGCAGAAAGAAGCTGAACATCCAGTGGAAGCTCAGCACAGACTTCCCAGACTCCCCAGGCACCATCCTCTGATGAAGGACAGCATCAGTGACGAAGGTCAGTTTGTGTGGCAGTGTTGTTATTGTTAACTAAAACTAAAATGATTAAAAGTCATTTTCAGTAATTGAAATAAAACTGAAACTAAATTAAAATATTAGATAAAAACTTAAACCTATAAAACCTTGAAAATGGCAACAAAAACTGAAATAAAAAAAGCTAAATGGAAATATTTTTAAAAAGTAATAAAAATGACAAAAGCACAAAAAAATCAGTCAAACTAAAATTAAAATAAAAGCTAATTAAAAATATTAATACCGTATACATGATGTGTGATCTGTCAGTGTAATGGACCACTTTTCAGGATCAATGTACTGCCTACGCACACTAGCACCACCGAACAGAATCACAAATGTTTGCACATTGTGCAAAATGACTGTCCTGCCCTAAACTCAATACAGTTCGTTTAGACATTGTTGCTAATGTTGGGTTACTCATGAATGCTTTACTTACAGTCGCCACTGCGCATTTAACTGGAATACAAAGTATTATAACTAAATCTACCGTAAATCACATTGCAAAAGCATCTTCAGAATGAAGAATGATGTGTTGGATTGTATGTGCAGAGCTGCAGGATCAGGCTGCGTCAGAGGAGGACGGGCTGGATGGGGAGGCCTGGGCGCGACCTTTGGCCCAGCTGTGGCAGAACAGAATGTATAATCCAGAAAGAGAGAGAGAGTACAACAGAGAGATGGGTCTGCGGCCTCCGTACTGTGCTGTGTGTGCGCTCTTCCAGGCACATCAGCGGGTAAGCCGGCCTGTTTCAAAGATCTGTGTTTAACTGTTTCCTGTCACTGGAGTATATCAAATGTCTGACACTTCCTGTGCTTTCCTGTTTATGTGTTTGCGTTCAGTCTGAAGGGGGCGAGAGCGAGCCAACCGTGGTGCTCCCCGGCGGTCAGATGAGGACCAAGCCTCTGATTCCAGAGAGATGTTTCACCACCACCACCGAGGACAGTGCAGACGTCCAGCCGTCCACACCTCTCCTGGAGGAGGACGGCACCAGTCTGCTCGTCAGCTGCTCCCTGTGCAGTGTCCGTGTGCACACTAGTGAGTAGAGCTGACAACCCTGACATCACAATACTGGTTTGTTCCCTAATCGAGTAGCTGTTTGTGGTGCCTGATCAAAAAGGGAGTCAGTTTGGAGGTTTTTTTTTTTTTAAAAGAAAATAATACTTTTATTCAGCAAGTATGCAAAAAAAGTGACAGTAAAGATTTATAATGTTACAAAAGATTTATCGTGTGACACTGAAGAAGACTGGAGTAAATATGCTGAAAATTCAGCTTTGCATCACAGAAATAAATTGCATTTTAAATGATATTCAAATAGAAAACAGTTATTTTAAATTGTAATAATATTTTACTGCTTTTATTGTATTTTTGATCAAATAAATGCAGCCATGGTGAGACTTTCAAAAACATTTAAAATCTTACTGACCCCAAACGGTAGTGTAGTTTGTCTGGTTATAACATTGACTAGAATGTAATAGCTTTCTATTATGATGCCTTAATTGAGGGTTTTCTGAATAAGAAAATGTGTTTAGCATGAATGTGAAGTCCTTTGCTACTGTTTGAAAAGCATCCCAAGATGCACCCTTGATGATGCTGAGGACAAATAAGGAATCTCATCATAGTTTCCAACATACTGTGCCAGAAAAAGATGTGTTTGAATAATCACGGGTCTGTTTAATTTGCGCCGTTTGTTCTAGGTTGTTACGGTGTGGCTCCAGTAAGAGTCTCCAAAGACTGGAAATGTGCCCGCTGTAAAGCCAACGCTCTCACTGAGGTACACCTAAGCGGCTTCACATATAGTGGCCCAAAAAATATTTGGACACTTACAGAAATAGCTCACCGAGATATTCTGGGCACCTAATCATCTGTTTTTTTTAAATGTTTTGCTTGATCAGTGTATTTTTCTTTAAAATGTCTTGATGTTTCTTGTTTCTGCTTCAAGTCTGGCTTAAGTGTCCAGATAATTTTCGGGCTACTGTGTACCTGCATTAAACATATGATTATATGCTGGTCTTTCATCTCTCCATTAAATGACGTAGTAGGATGCATTGTAAACTGATGATGTTTGAATCTGTGATTCTTGACAGAGTTGCTGTCTATGTTCGTTGAGAGGTGGAGCATTGCACAGAGCCAATAATGGCAAGTAAGTAAAATGAAAGTCCACTAGAAGGCAGGACTGACATGACATGAAACACACTGACCCCTGAACTCGAAGTTACCCAGATCTTGAATTGTTAGAAGTGTGCTTTTGTGGATTTTGTGTGCTTCAGACAAACAAGAACCTCACTTATTACACAATTCTGGTTTGAGATCACAGGAATCATTCAGTGTCTTGCCAGGTGAGTTTCACAAAATCTCTCAAGAATTTCTGGGTAGTATTCATCTCACAATCAAAATAAAGAAATGGGAAATGTCATTTTGCATAAAGAAAATGATGCCTATATTTAAGAATTTCATTCTTTTTTTTCTTCCATTTTGACATAATTATTCATGACTGTTTAGCTTATTTACCTCCCAAACTGTCATAAGGAATACTAATGTAACACATTGTACCACATTTAATATAAACTAAGTATTCATTATAATACATTTGGGATTGAATTGAATCTTTATTGTCATTATATGTACACAGTGGTACAAGCAACGAAATGGGGTTGTAATTTTTGTACAGTAATTTTTATTACTGTAGTACAAACAGCCTGTATTTTAGTAATGAGAACCATCACAGAGAATAATTAGGTAACACTGGGTAGTTAAAGGAACTCCGTTAGAGGAACTAGAAACCAGGGTGGTCCCCCGAGAACTACATTTTCCCCTAGGGCCATTTTCTTGGTTGTATTTGCAGTGAAAAAAAGTGCTGCATTCAGCAACGTCAACAAGTGGAGGATGAAGAAGTGCCTGGACTTTGGCGTTGGTCCATCTATCGCTGTTTTCCATGTTTGTGGAGTAAATCTATGTAAATGGCAGGTGGAGGCGTTTCATACAGAATGCATTCGACCAGTCACCTTACACTTACGTCACTGGTAGTTTCTATTGTGTTGGGTTAGAACCTACTCTCAAGTAAGAGCTAATTTAACCCCCCCTCGAAGGCATTTCTATAACTAAAATCATTTTCGGTTCCTGCAGTGCGGACACGTCAAAAAGCGGGTATTTCCATCAATAGTTATAGGAGCTATGAAATGTTCTTCTGGTGCAAAAGCCCCTATGAGAATTACAAAAAGACTCAAAGGTACAACAACAAATTACAGTAATTCAGGAAGGAAATGTATTTTATTGTCATAAAAATAATGTCCTATTGTAAATAAAAAATAAAAATTTAAGTGATCCTAAAAAGATAATTTTCCTAAATGCAAAATATAATTGCTTATTTTTATGTTTTGATTCTGCTGTGAAATATGACTTGGACATAATCTTGAGAGGTTTTGTGAGATTGATCCTGCCATTTTTTTCAGGATCGGTTAATGTTGTGTACTTTCCACAAATCATCATCCCAGGTTCCTAACGTGTGTCTCCATGTGCAGATGGGTTCACGTCCTGTGTGCGGTGGCAGTGCAGGAGGCTCGTTTTGTGAACATCACTGAACGATCGCCCGTGGATCTCAGCGGCATTCCCTTACAGAGATTCAAGCTGGTGAGTTTCTGTTCCCTTCTCTAGAAAACATGCAGCGTGCAAAATGGGGATCCTTTTAAACGGCAACATTTCACTTCTCTGAGATGTGGCTCCACACCAAACCTCCATTAATCAACAGCTCCATGTGTCTTAAATCATATCGTACATCGTTGGTGCAAGAGAACGACACGTTTTGCTGCAGATTGTAACTTCAGGGTGTTGACTTTTACGGGAAGTGCTTTGGTGTAAGCAAACATGGTGTTATTTATATCTACACTCAGTGCTGTTTCCTCCTGTCTCACTTCCTCTGAGCTGTTTTCCTGTGAACTAATCTCTCTTGTATGTGCTTACAGAAATGCTACTACTGCAAACGGCGGATGAAGAAAACATTGGGCTGTTGTGTGCAGTGTTCTCACGGTCGCTGCCCCACCTCATATCACCCGACCTGCGCACAGGCCGCCGGCGTCATCATGCACCCGGACGATTGGCCCTTCGTCGTCTATGTCACCTGTTGCCGCCACAAAGGGCCGGTGCAATCAGAGGTATTGTACTCTGAAATAGTGTTGTAGTCAAAACCACCTAAACAAAGACCAAGTTGAGACCGAACTTTTAGAGGTTAATGCCGAGTTCACACTGCACGATTTTAGCCCGTTTAGCTCGTTCACGCGAGTGACAATCACGCAGTGTGAATTATCAAAGACGCGAACTGAGGGAATCGCCGACGCCCGTGAAATAGTTGGCATGCTAAATATTTGGAGCTGTCGGCGATTCACAATCACGCTGTGTGAAATGAGTTCTGACTGAAAAACACATCGGCGATGACCTACAGCCAATGAGAGACCAAGATACAGGGCAGCGGGAAGTTCGGGAGGAGTTATATGAAACGGAGTTTGCGGACCAGTGTTGCCAAATCCGTGATTGCCAACGGTTGTTTTTTATGTCAGCAGGTTGAAGCAACCCCAATAATGTGATATTTAGGCCCTGGAGTGTGAATTGTACCAGGAGAACCAATATTTACCAATACAATTGCCCCCCCCCCCGAACGCGATTAGAGGATAGAGGGATCTCCTATAAAGCAATTGGGCTATTTTCAGGCTAGTTTTGATTAGTAATTGGGCGGGTTTTGTAGCGAAAACCTGTCAACCCTGCATCAGACAGAGCTGTCGGCGATTCTTCCTATTGTAAAGTCATGCAGTGTGTAACCTCCTGTCGTCATTCCATCGTGCAGTGTGAACACAGCAACAACTGAATGCTACCCCAGATAGTCACACAGTGTGAAACCAACAGTGATGCGACGTCTTTAAAAATCGCGCAGTGTGAACTCGGCATAAGACCAAGGCAGGCTGAGACCGAGTCAAGACCAAGACCAAACACGCACTTCTGAAATTCATCGAAAAGATCCACATTTATTGCCTGAAAAATATCTAATATTTAATCGATTTGAATATTACAATTAGAATAAAATAAAGACACTATTTAGAGCTGTTACCAATCAACTGAATAGGACAGAATGAACAGAATTCATCTTTGCGCTGCAGAGGTGGCACAGAAGCTGCATCTGAATTGGTAGAATTACAATTGCATAAATATTGTTGAGAGTTTAATGTTTTAAAAATAGAATTTTGAATATAGAAATATGATGGAAAATAAATTCAATATGAATGTCGAACTAAAACCGCCAGTTGGCGGCAAATCACTTAATGGGTGATTCACAGAATCATTTATTCAACCAATTCGTTCAAAGCAGCTGATTCATTCAGTAATGAATCGTCGCTGTGTTTTGCTCGGAAACGCAACAGTTGATTGCTGGACTTTGTTTGGAACTATTTTTGTTGCCAAAATAGCAAAAAATAAAATTGTGTCTAAAATATAATTCACTTAATGCTTCTTGTTTAACGTTTGTATAAAATTAATATCACGTTTTGCAATCATGCTCATATTCATGAAAACAGCTCTCTTGATTTTGTGATATTGCTTAATTATATGTAATAATATAAAAACAAGATGTCATACTTTTTTGCAATCATATCTTGAATTTTTTAAAGCTTATTAATTGCGGTGAAATTTTTGACACAATTCCCCATTAAATTCTGACCGAGCACAGCAGTATCAAAAGAGATACAATTAGAAATAAGTTATTGATTGCATTTAAAGCAGGAAGTTTTACATCACATTAATGATGTTAAAAAAATAAATCAGACAATGTAACAGCAATTTAGTGATATCTCCTCACTTGTGTTCTTGAAATAAAATCCCAAGACCTTTTTGTCTGAGACAAGACTGAGTACAAATGCAGTTGAGACGGAGACAAGACCAAGACCAAGACCTTCAAGAAATGGTCTTAAGACCAGTTCTGAGACCCTGACCGGTCTCAAGTACTACAACATTACTATGAAACACTAAGAAAAACAATGTAACATGTGCACTGCATTTGCATAAAGTGTAATACAGTAAATGTAATAATGACGATCATGAATAATAATCGTGATTATATTTTTTGAGCAAAATAATTGTGACTAACTGTTTAACAATTATCGTGCAGCCCTATTGTAAATAGCATCTACCATCATATGTGTTGCTGCTTTGACCAGTGCTCTCTCTTTCTCCTCTGCAGCGTAATAAAGCAGCCATGAGAGAGCTCAGCGGGGGTCAGAAGGTCATCTGCAAGCACAAAAATGGACGCTACTACCAGTGTGAAGTCATACAGCTGACAAAAGAGACATTTTATGAGGTCAACTTTGATGATGGCTCCTTCAGTGATAACCTTTTCCCAGAAGACATTGTGGTAAGACATGAGATTCGACCTATTCTCTACAGCAGTTTATCATAGAAAAGGTGCATTTAACTACAGTTATAAGAAAATTATTTAATTATCAACAGCATGGAAAACCTGAAAGCATCGGGGAATTTTGGGAAAGTTACGACGCTGCATATTTTTGTTGAAACTGACACTTTTTGTTTTCAGGATTCTTTGATGAATAGAAAGTTCAAAAGAACAGCATTTATTTGAAACGGAAATCTTTTGTTACATTATAAATGTCTTAACTGGCACTTTTGATCAATTTAATGCACCCTTGATGAATAAAAGTCTTAATTTCTTTCACAAAAACACTTACTGACCCAACACTTTAGTGTATGATTGGCTCCAAAATACTGTATATTTAAGATGTCGTATATTATAAATATTGGATTTTGCGTGGTTTGGTGTAGAACCGAGACTGCGCTCAGCTGGGTCCTCCACCGCAGGGGGAAGTGGTTCAGGTCAGGTGGACAGACGGTCTTGTCTATGGAGCCAAATTCGTGGCAGCTCATGTCATTCAGATGTACCAGGTAAATGTCTAAGAGAAGAGTTCCAGCGGTTCAGTCTGCGTTTAGTCGTTTAGTAAATCACTGCTTCTCTTCAGGTGGAGTTCGAGGACGGATCGCAGCTGACTGCTAAGAGAGATGACGTCTACACCCTAGACGAAGAGCTGCCCAAGAGAGTCAAATCTCGTCTGGTGAGCTCATATGTTAGGCAGATTGCAAGTAAAAATACTAAGATTTAAAAAGAAAAAATTGTGTGACAACAGTACTCCATAGTTGTTAAGCTTGTCAGATGCAATAAAAGAGTGTTTCTGGAAGTAAAAATTCATTCATTTTCTCCTTGGGGAAATGATTTTTAAAGATAACTTGGAAACTATTAAAGACACTTCTACTGTGAGCTACAAGGTTGTTCTTGATGATATATGCGTTTGTTGAGGCCTTCATTATTGCAACTTATTATTAAAACAATCAAAGTCATGGTGACCAAATAAAATACTTTACATTATACACATATAGTATAAATGCATATTTTGCAATAAACTTATATTGTTTCTATAGATATAATCAACAATTTTAAATGAATAGTTTTATATTTCTCCATTATTTTTAATTTGATTATTTAATTTGGGATTGTAGTTCTTTACCTCATTATAGCCAATAAGCACAGTTTTTTTTTGTTTTGTTTTTTTATTGCTTCAAAACAAAGTTTGTAATGTTGTAAATCACCTCATAACTGATTGGTTTGGTCTATGGCTTATAATGCTTTAAAGTGCCTCTATTATGCCATTTTTAAGGTTCCTAATATTGTTTTTGGAGTCTCCTACAATAGGTTTACATGCATGCAAGATCGCTTTAGTTTTCTTAAAATATGCATTTAATATCACCTCGTTTTCCAATCATTCTCCAACGATTCGTTTAAAGCAGTTCTAAGATTCTCTAAACCCCTCCTTTTCCGTGACCCTTCTCTGCTCTGATTGGTCAGATGGCCCAGTCTGTTGTGATTGGTCTGCCGCGTACAGCGTGTGTCAGAAACGATACGCCCATCGCCATAGTTCCATAATTTGAACGCTTGAGAGAAAATATAAAAAAACATCTATTATTAATCATACTTACAGGTTGTGCTTCAGTGGAGCCAGCTGGTCCAAATGGCATAATACTTTTTTTAAATCCCTGTAGGAAAAATGAATGGAATAAAATACTTCTGGAGAAAGTGGGTGGCCACTAATGCGCTCTGTTGATTTTTGCATGTGTGTGATTCAGTCTAAGGCATCGGACATGCGTTTTGATGGCATGTTTGGAGAGAAAAAGGTCCAGGAGAGCAAGAGACAGAGAGTGATCAACTCCAGGTACAGAGGCGACTACATCGAACCCGTCATCTACCGAGCCATCATGGAGTAGCTAGCGATGACCCAGCCTTCACCCAAATCCACCAGCACTCATCCAGCGTCTCCAGTACACCCTGCCAATGTCAGTAGCGTTCAGTTCACAGGGGTCGGACACATGGATGGGTTTGATCGCTCCTCGGTGGACTATTACTAGCCCTCAGTCGACCATCTATTCTGATATATGGGTCTAGAGTCGAGGCAGGGTGTTTCACAGTGTCTTCCTCAGAGAATGCAGCATTGTCATTGGGTGTCAAGCCCTTTTAACCTCAGCGCTGTGAAACTATGCCACAAACGCTCTAGAAACACATCAGCATGAACATCAGGTTCATGGAGTCGCTCCAAATTACATTAGTTTGATACAGCATATTTGTAATCTCCTAATCTACTTTTATCAAATTGCATTAATTTATTTGACTTACTTCTCTGCTCTGATTGGTCAGATGGCCCAGTCTGTTGTGATTGGTCTGCCGCGTACAGCGTGTGTCAGAAACGATATGCCCATCGCCATAGTTCCATAATTTGAACGCTTGAGAGAAAATATAAAAAAACATCTATTATTAATCATACTTACAGGTTGTGCTTCAGTGGAGCCAGCTGGTCCAAATGGCATAATACTTTTTTAAAATCCCTGTAGGAAAAATGAATGGAATAAAATACTTCTGGAGAAAGTGGGTGGCCACTAATGCGCTCTGTTGATTTTTGCATGTGTGTGATTCAGTCTAAGGCATCGGACATGCGTTTTGATGGCATGTTTGGAGAGAAGAAGGTCCAGGAGAGCAAGAGACAGAGAGTGATCAACTCCAGGTACAGAGGCGACTACATCGAACCCGTCATCTACCGAGCCATCATGGAGTAGCTAGCGATGACCCAGCCTTCACCCAAATCCACCAGCACTCATCCAGCGTCTCCAGTACACCCTGCCAATGTCAGTAGCGTTCAGTTCACAGGGGTCGGACACATGGATGGGTTTGATCGCTCCTCGGTGGACTATTACTAGCCCTCAGTCGACCATCTATTCTGATATATGGGTCTAGAGTCGAGGCAGGGTGTTTCACAGTGTCTTCCTCAGAGAATGCAGCATTGTCATTGGGTGTCAAGCCCTTTTAACCTCAGCGCTGTGAAACTATGCCACAAACGCTCTAGAAACACATCAGCATGAACATCAGGTTCATGGAGTCGCTCCAAATTACATTAGTTTGATACAGCATATTTGTAATCTCCTAATCTACTTTTATCAAATTGCATTAATTTATTTGACTTAATTGAGGGTGTTGTTTCTACCCGTATTTTACCGAACGGAGGTGCCATTGCCATTTTATGCATGCGGATCTGCTTTTTTAAGATCTACACTCATAAATTGTGCAGTTGAGATCCTGAATATTGTACATTATTTGGAACATAATGAATTCAGTGTGTCTTGGAGTCATTTTTTACAAGCCTATTTATTACTGGTGCTTTACAAAAGTAAATTTTGCAATATAAGTTCAAGTGCTGTCGAAGTTCGACACCGATCTGTGTGTTCTGGTTTTGGAAAGAGGATCGCGTAGATACTGAAATGCCAAGGATCTCACTTTCACAGCTGTTCAAGCCCTGCCTTGTGCTCTGGTTCAATACACTTTCATTCAGACGTTTCTATTAATGTAGCTTCTTACTGCTGTCAACATTTTATCAGAAGCCCCTATGGTTTTAATAAGCTATTTTTGCACTTCTCAGCTGTACTTTTATGATCTGTCATCTTTGTCCTTGCAGTAGCCAAGCTCTAGAGACCGAAATGCATTCATGAAAGCTGAGGAGGCCGTTGTTTGGACCGTCTAGCTGATGGCATTTGCAGAAAGTAAGGTTGTTGCAGTCCTTCAGTTGTTCGAAAGATAGATAGGGCTAATCTTCACTATAAAAAAAGAAAAATATAAAAGATTTTTTTCTATCAAGAAGCCTATTTTATTGCTTTGTTTTATAATACATGTTTAATGTTCATATACTGTGAGATAGAGTTGTATGTAGTTAATTTAAGAAATCTTGAGCTTTCGGCACGTTTCTTTTGCCTCTTGTGTTGCTTTCAAACATGAGCCTCGTTCTCACTGCACTTCTGAATGCAGAGGCTCTAGGACTTCCATACATGTATTTTGTAAAAATCATTAATGTGCAGCAGTAAAAGATGTGAGCTGACATGTTTCTTACACTGGAGTGTCTTTTTTTTTTTCATTCACATTCAACATTTACTGCATTAAACAACAGTAACTAGATTTACTGATTTAGTAATGTATTTCATTTTATTTCTTAGTTAATTTGTCAATCATATTTTCACCACTGCTTGATAAAACCACAGCCAGCACCATGGGGAATTTTGAATGTGTGTATATATATATATATATATATATATATAAAATAATTCAAGATTATGTCATTTTCATTTTTGGTCTGGACCAAAAGAAAGGAAAGTGAGAACACGCCCTAAAACAAATTTTTATTAAAGCCAATATTCAGAACTTCTGAACAAGTGGGAAAATATTTTGCATTCAATTCTGAAAAAAAAAAAATGACATTAAGGGGATAACGTATCGGTAAAAATAAACAAAATCCCGTTAAATTTATGGATTAAAATGCAGGGACAACCTTTCAGTAGATGGTTTAATTTATGTTTTTATAGATTATTACTGTTTATTTAATTGACTGATAAAATGTCAATATAGGTAATAAATTGGTCTTTCCAGGGCTATGCACAAACGAATACAGCCGTTTGTTTACGGTAAAATACAACACATTTTTACATTATTATTTTTTTCTTCTTTCTTTACATTTTCTTTGCTTATATAACTAGAATGTGAAAATTAAATTGAAGAACTACTGTTTAACTAAATTTAACTTTCTATTAACGGAAGAGATGTTTGCTGGATGTCCGCTGTTGTCGGAGCTGTTGAGAAACAGAGTTGCGACACTTCATAGGAATTAAGGAATAAAAATTTAAAAAAGGAATTGAGGAATGTGGAAGTAAAGCGTGCCACGGAGCAGCCAATAGTTCCAGCACTGAAGCCCATTAATTTAAGTGTTTCTCTAGCACACTCGCTAATAAATTGAAGAAATGACTGCATTTTTTGACATTTTAATGCATTACTTGACGTCTCAGAAATCTGTCCAGTAGTGATATTCCAGCGTAGTTATTAAAGGCACTATGTACGATTTTTTTATTAAAATATCCAAAAACCACTAGAACAGTGTTATATATATTTTGCTGAATTGTGTACTTACATTATCCCAAATGTTTTGAAGAATGTTTAAATCCAGAAATAAGAAATAAGACATTTTAACTAGTGACATGGACCGTGTCCATAGTGTCATTGTGTCGCCTGCCAATGACGTCATAACCCCTCGATTTCCGGTTTTGTTTTGTAGAAAACACGGAAACACCAAAGATGCTTTAATATGTTGTTGCAAATATAGTGAAACTGCTGTGCGTCCCGATTAAACCCATTCAGTCAGACTGACAGCGCGGAGTTGTTTGGAACTATTGAGAGCTCCATGAACCACGTGACCGCGTGGCGGCGAGATCAAAGCATGTCGCAACTCTCTTTCTGAACGGCTCGGGTGCGTTTCCCAAAAGCATCTTTAGCTAACTATGGTTGTAACGACGGAACTTGCACCATTTGCTTTTGGGAAACGCACCTGTAGTTTTTCAGCGTTCACATGCGTCTCACATCATGACGACGCGCTTCATCAGTATCCATGGCAACGTTCTGTTGGCGTTTTCTGTAAACCTGACTCTCATCAGCATCAGTTAATCGACTGATCGGCTTTTCCGTTCGCGACTGTGATCGTTTAGGTCGGTTTTATTTTGTGTGGTTAACAAGAACCGTGTCGACATGCCTTGTGTTCATTATAAGTTTCGAAGTAAACTCACTCACGACACGGTCGAGTTTGAAGGCCTTCACATCACTGTGACAGAGTTAAAACGACAAATCATGAGCCGCGAGAGACTGAAGCTCTGTGACCTGCAGATCAGCAGCGCGCAAACCAATGAAGGTGAGTTCAGCTCCAGATCACAATAAACCAAACCAAACCAAACTCAGCTAAACATGTAGAACAAAAAACACATATGAGGGTGAGTTCAGCCACATCAAACTAAACTAAACATTTGATGCATGATCAGACAGAACACAAACTAAAGCTTTTATGTTCAATAAAAAGTCACATTTATGAATCTACTGCTGTAATGACAGTGATGGAGTTGGATAGTAATATTTCAGTATTTTGATGTATTTAATGGCACTCAAAGAATACTATGGTACTGTGTGAAACTAATGGTCTTATTGGTGCTTTTGCTGTCAGAATACACTGATGATGAAGCGCTCATTCCCAACAACACGTCAGTCATCATCAGACGAATCCCTGCTGTTGGGCTGAAATCCACAAACAGAAGATTTGTCAAGTAAGTCACGTGACGAGCACAACTTTCATTTAGATGTAATATGAAGAATCATAAGTGTCATTAGTGTTTTAGTCATTTGAACTCTTTGCTGTTTGGTTTTGCAGTAATCGGCCTGAACCATCATGCGGATCTTCACAAACAGTACGTAGAAAAGGGTTTGCATTGGTCTTCATGTTTAATAACTCTATTTGGAAAGGTTCCTTATCAAATATTTGATTCGCATGGTTAATTTTGTACTCTAACATATGGAGCATCAGTGACTGGCTCCTCCAGAATATCACAGATAAACACGTTTGCTATGTTTTATAATGTTACACAGTTTTTGATCAAACTGTCAGGAAAAGCCGTTTGCTTGTTGCGAATCGAAGGTAAGCCCAATTCCACTGAACGGTTTTAAATAATATCTTCATTCTATATGCACTATTGTACAATTTTACCTTACATCTTCTGTATGAATAAACAACACATGCGCTGTATAATTACTGCATCGTTATACAATAAATCTATTATTAATTCCCTGACGATCAAGGCCCTGTGTTCATTCTGATTGGGTTTCTGTAGACGAGCGTCTCGTTCATGTCTCTGTGTGTCTCGTTCATGTTTTCAGTCTTCAAACTCAAATCTCTAGACTGACTGACCTCACTGTTGTCCTAAATAGCTCATAGTGTCTCGTCTCAGAGGTAAAACTCCTCTTGTGTTCATGTTTATTTCAGCAGCAGGTTGGTGATTCTTCACCAGTTTCACTGGATCAGCTTCTGAAGGTACTGAAATCAAAGAGAAATTCACTCTGCTGCACTGTAATGAACTTCAGTGTTTGCATTTGAAGTGTCACAATGAAGACAAAAAGTGCTTAATATCAAAACACAGTGTACAGTGAAGATGCTTAAAAGTGAGCATAAATCCCACAATGGCAAACACACAAGCAGCTTCTTCAAGGAGGTTTGAGTGTCTCGGTGCTAAATATTAAAACATGCAAATGCCTGTGAAACAGACTGAGAATCTGGCTGAGGCAAATGCATCAGAGGAGGACAAAATCAAAGCTGTGATGTACCAGTCCAGTCTGTGCTATTATTCCAGCAGGTGAGTGTTCAGACATTGACAGTGTCTGAATCTGTGAAATATGAGAGATGCTCATGGTTCTGACATTCATCAGTGATGCGATGAAGCTGGTCGGTCTGCTTCCACCAAACTACATCTGTTTCCGCTGTGGGATTCCTGGACATCACATTAAAAACTGCCCGAGCGCTTGGGTAACTGGGCTTTCAGAGATCACAGCTGCTGGGAACCTGAGCTCTTTTCCCCATTAGTCTGTTTGTTTGCTCAGAGTTTGAATGTCACTCATGAATTCACAGGACAAAAGCTTTGCTCCTCGTAAACACATACGGAAATGCGCAGGGATTCCTCGTAGTTTCCTGGTGGAGGTGGATGATCCTGACAGAAAGGGAGTCATGATGGACAGCAGTGGGAAATACGTCATTCCCATTATGGATGCGTGAGTTTACTGTACTTGCAGGTTCTAGTGTTTGTTGTCTTGTTGTGTTTGAATCATGTCGTGTTTGATCTGTTCAGTGAGGCCTATGCGATTAGGAAGAAAGAGAAGCCGCCCTTCTCGCCCCAGAATGAGCCTTCATCCTCATCCTCATCCGATCCAGTCCCCGCCACACTGCTATGTCTGATCTGTAAGGATCTGCTGACTGATGCTGTGATGATTCCCTGCTGCAGCACCAGCTACTGTGATGAATGTGAGTGTCTGTTCAAACAAACATCAGTCAGCAACAAACTGGCTGTTTCTGACTATCTTTTGGTCTCAGGTATCAGAACGTGTTTGCTGGAGTCTGACGGACACCTTTGTCCAACCTGCAGACAGTCAGATGTTTCACCTGACGCTTTGACCGCAAACACTGTTTTGCGTCAAGTAAGACCTTAAGCTCCGTTTCTTCTTGTGGATCATCTTCTTTTCAGAACTATTTCATGATTCTTTCTCACACAGGAGGTGAATCGTTTTAGGAATGGAACCAGATCTTTGTGTCCAAACCACAGCCGTCGATCCCGGTCACCCATCCCAGAATACTCATCAAAGAGGCGTCGGGATGTGAGAGAGAATCGTTCCCACTCAAGATCTCCTCTAAACAGATATACAGAGCAGAAGAGACCTGAGACCTTTCAGTCCTGCATTGGAGAAACCTTGTGAGGCATCAGTTACAAACGCCCCGAGAATAAACACAAAGCATCAAAATGTATTTTTATTTTTTATATATATTTTTCATACTGTTAAGAGGTATTGAAAAATACATTTATGTTGCATAATGGGGGTTGTCCTTTTGTATTTTTAAATAGCCCAAGCTTTTTCAAATTCTACTACTACTATTAGTTCTGTTATACTAATATTAGTTACCCTATAACCAACTAGTAATATAGTCAGTTAAATGCATAACGATACTGCATGGCATCTTGGTCAGATGCAAGATCAGTGAATGTGTATTATGAAACCACAACTCTTGGGGAACAGGAAGGATTGCAAAGGGAAGCCTGCCAGTACTGTCTTAAGATAAGTATTGTTGTTTCTTTGTGAAGTGACCCGCTTATTTAAATCCTCTTCATACCAATTGTTAACAAAAGGTCTATTCATTTATTTAGACATAAAGTTTCGATGTGATGCAGAAGTGCAAAAGTTTGCCAGTTCGTCTGTAACGGGAAATGGAAAGGTAAGGTCATAAGAGATCTAGCTCACTCACTAGAACTTCTAGTGACTTAAATGAACACTCACTGCTCAGAGATCAAAATGTGTGTGGAATGTTTCATGAGATTTTCACAGTACAGCAGCCTACAAGCTCAACCCAACTTCCACATTATACGTCAACAGGAAATCTCTTTCTAACATCAAACATGCATTTATCTGAGAGGCACACACATATCAGTCATTGTAGTCAAGGCCTCTTTAATTTGTGTGGTGTCACAATAAATAAATGCAGCACATTTAATTATCACTGAAGCACAGCAACAAAAACATCTTTGTTCTACATGTAAGATTAGACAAGGGTTTAATTCGGTTTGAGATTCTGTTGTTGTTCTTTTAAAATTGCATTTGCGTGCATTTTATTTTATTGTGTTTGCATTCAATTGATTAATTGAGAATCTCTTTAAAATGAGAATAACACAAACAAAATTGTTCAGTTGAATTTTGCTTCCTGTGCTCATAGATGTGAGAACAGACAGAGCATTGTGTTATTGTGAAGTGTATTTCCATTATCCCGCAGATAAGACTCTTTATCTACGCTGTCCTTGGTTAAACTGCGGTCAACAGTTATGGGGCAACAAAAACGCATGTAAGATTAGACAAGGGTTTAATTCGGTTTGAGATTCTGTTGTTCTTTTAAAATTGCATTTGCGTGCATTTTATTTTATTGTGTTTGCATTCAATTAATTAATTGAGAAGATTTTTAAATTGACTTTAAAATGAGAATAACGCAAACAAAATTGTTCAGTTGAATTTTGCTTCCTGTGCTCATAGATGTGAGAACAGACAGAGCATTGTGTTATTGTGAAGTGTATTTCCATTATCCCGCAGATAAGACTCTTTATCTACGCTGTCCTTGGTTAAACTGCGGTCAACAGTTATGGGGCAACAAAAACTAAATGATCTCATGTGCACTTTCACTGAGATTAACCTGGGACTTAACTGACATCATAAGGGATTTTCCAGTTTGTGTTAATTTAGGTAGCAATATCTGTGTGTATTTGGAATAAGACCTACAAAGTATATACAGCTAAAGATATGCAAGTAGATGGATTTTGATTTTGTTTTATTTTTCAACACTGAAATCAGTCAAGAAATTGATTCTCTATGGTCGTCACCATTATGTGAACACAGATCACCACAAGACAAAAGAACAAGACTGCTAAACAATTGACATTTAAAGACATTATGAGTAACAGCCCAATAAAATTGAGTCATTCTTAGTGCAATAAAGAAGTACTGTGACATATTGATGATAACGTGCCTGATTGTCATGGTAAGCCTACACTAGTTCCTCAATTTTACCATGGTAGATTTCCAAGATACCGTCTCAATGCCATTGTATTTTGGTACTTTGTTATTGACGGATCTATTGTTATTGTTCTATAGTAATCAATACAGTAGACTAATATATGTATAACCCTTACAAAAATGAACCATGGTTTTATAATAGTAAAAGTGTAGTAACCAGGTTTTTTTTTGTTGTTGTAGTAAATCCATGGTTCATTTTCATTAGGGAGCACACTGTCATATAAAGCGATACCAAGCCTATCTTAAGTAACACAACACTGTGTGTCCGCTCAGCTATGCGTGTGTAGTGTAGTGACCCAACACTAGCACTCTCTATTCTAATTCTATGGGGAAAAAAACACTTGACCCACTAACACTAGCACTCTCTATTCTAATTCTATGGGGGAAAACACTTGACCCTCTAACACTAGCACTCTCTATTCTAATTCTAAGAATTCTAAGAAAAAAACACTTGACCCACTAACACTAGCACTCTCTATTCTAATTCTCCGGGGGGAAAACGCTTGACCCTCTAACACTAGCCCTCTCTATTCTAATTCTCCGGGGGGAAAACGCTTGACCCTCTAACACTAGCCCTCTCTATTCTAATTCTCCGGGGGGAAAACGCTTGACCCTCTAACACTAGCCCTCTCTATTCTAATTCTCCGGGGGGAAAACGCTTGACCCTCTAACACTAGCCCTCTCTATTCTAATTCTCCGGGGGGAAAACGCTTGACCCTCTAACACTAGCCCTCTCTATTCTAATTCTCCGGGGGGAAAACGCTTGACCCTCTAACACTAGCCCTCTCTATTCTAATTCTCCGGGGGGAAAACGCTTGACCCTCTAACACTAGCCCTCTCTATTCTAATTCTCCGGGGGGAAAACGCTTGACCCTCTAACACTAGCCCTCTCTATTCTAATTCTCCGGGGGGAAAACGCTTGACCCTCTAACACTAGCCCTCTCTATTCTAATTCTCCGGGGGGAAAACGCTTGACCCTCTAACACTAGCCCTCTCTATTCTAATTCTCCGGGGGGAAAACGCTTGACCCTCTAACACTAGCCCTCTCTATTCTAATTCTCCGGGGGGAAAACGCTTGACCCTCTAACACTAGCCCTCTCTATTCTAATTCTCCGGGGGGAAAACGCTTGACCCTCTAACACTAGCCCTCTCTATTCTAATTCTCCGGGGGGAAAACGCTTGACCCTCTAACACTAGCCCTCTCTATTCTAATTCTCCGGGGGGAAAACGCTTGACCCTCTAACACTAGCACTCTCTATTCTAATTCTAAGAAGAAGAAAAAACGTGATCTTCTAAAACTTGCACTCTCTATTCTAATTATATGGGGGGAAAACACTTGACCCTCTTAACACTAGCACTCTCTATTCTAGTTCTATGGGGGAAAAACACTTGACCCTCTAACACTAGCACTCTCCATTATATAAATGTAACTCTTTAGATTAGGAAACACAGATTCAGTGTTTTCCCTCAATAAACTCCTAATTTTCTGTTTACTGCTAGTAGTTATGTTTAGTTATTGGATAGAATTAAGGGATCCAGAATTGTCATGCAGAATAAGTCATTAATATGTGTTTTATAAACAGTGTCTGGGAGTAACTAGTTGCATGTAATTTTTTTATTTACAAAATTAAATGATGTAATGTAATTACAAAATAAATGTAACTGTAATCAGTTACTGAGAAAAAAATCTGTAATTAAATTACAGTTACTTATGAAAATGTTAACGATTACAAAGGGGGTTACGTCTGAATTTCTTTCACACACACCCACATATAGATTTAATTGATTTCTTTCATAAATGATTGCTCTAAAATATGAGACACCAATGTTTAGGACATAGAATAGGACACATGCTTATTCGATAACTGTTTTATTTCCTATTTGGGTTTATGTATATATATATATGCTTTATTTTTTTAAGATTAACTATTTTTCCATGCCACAGTTAGATGCCATTGTTTCCTGACATATTTGCTATGCAAAAATTTGATTTCAAAAACAGCTATTAAACTATTTCTTGTTATGATTTTAAATATTTATTTTGCCTTAGAACGATCTCAAAGTCTGATTTTGTGGTGGCTGTGCTTTAAAATTCAATTATTTATCATCTTAATTCAAGCGATGAAGGATTTGAAAGTCTGACATTAATCAGTTGAGCGCTATTGTAAGGTTAACCCTGCCTGCTTTAAATGTTCGAAAATAATTAACAGTTGAAAACATTAGAAATTTAGAAAAGGAATGAAAATGCAATCAAATGTTATCAGTTACATTACTTTAATAAAGGAATTGAAATAGTTACACTTCTTATTAAATTTTTAATAGGGTGACTTGTAAGCTGTAACCTATTTCCAAAGTAATCTTCCCAACACTGTTCAAACAGCCAATATGCTAGTAATATGCATTCTAAGCAACTAGTTCATAGTCAATAGTGTTCCCTAATTTAAAGCATTACCATTATAAAAGATCGTAATATAATATAAAATATGATATATATAATATAATATATTATTTTTAGCTATAAAAAATCATTTTGTTTTTATAGTTTTTTTTTATTTTTATTGTTTTTGTTACTTATAATATATTTTATTTCTTATAATTATTATAAAATATACTATTTTATATTCTATAACTGTAGAATGTAGCATGCACTTATGACTGGATCTAAATTATGATAGAAGTGCTTTTTTCTTCTTCTTTTTTTACTAGGGGTACCTGTTATCTGATACCTTTGTTAAGGGTAGTCACTTGAAATAATAAACAAAACAAAAAAAAAAACGAGCAAACTTGGATTGCAACTGTGGTATTTTATCCTTTTGGGAGCCATGTGTTTGAAAGGATCCAGTTATTATGTTGTATTATTATAATGTTATATTATATAATGAAATATAATAATAAAATATATTTTATAGTACAATATAATTTTATAATATTATATGATATTATATATGCAATTATATATGAAAATTATCATAAAGGTCCTTTAGGAAACAAACAAACAAATAACAACTCAGATTGCAAAAATTGTGTTTTATCCAACTGGGAGCTAGTGTTAAAGAGACCCTGTTGTTATTTTAACATTATATTAATATTATAAGTTGTATGTTTATATTGTATTGCATTATATTATATTTAAATGTGGGACATTTGATTTTTTATTTTTTATTGAAAATGCTAAAATGTTCACGCTTACAAAAATATACCATGATATCTGCGGACCACACCAAAATGTCATAGCCGGTTAATAAAAATAATGAGGAAGCTTGTTTCGCTTGTGTAAACCATATAAATATTGCCACATGAAGCCTATTTTTAGAAACATCTGAATGAACTGGTTTTATTTTATTAATATGACTGGTTATACAGACCACATGATTAAATCCGGTAGAAATAACTCCTTAAAGTAAGAGTTGCATGTTACCACCTTTTAAGCAGCTTCCAGAATATAATTTTAAAGGGTCAGAGCAAGTTCCAACTATAGCAGCTAGGGTGCTTTGGTAGAAACTATGGTTACCCTGGTAAGTGTTTGTAAGTGAGCATGCTTCATTTCACCTGCAGGCCTGTTACTGCATGTTCTGCAGGTCTGAGCACGTCAGTTCCTGACACGTGTTGAGCTCATCATTCATGTTACCTATCATTTTACTGTTTGTTTTAAGCCATTTAAATAATAGGCTACCCGTTTAGGTTTGAAACTGTTATAAATTGAAAGACCAAACATCAGTTTACAAAGTTGCTGTTTGTCTTGGGAGAGCACCGTGATTTATCAGCGTGTTGCGTGCCTGCGTTTTCAGGTGACTCAGACCAGATGAAGCCTCATGTGAGATGATCAGGATGAAGTCCACACGGAGCTTCACGTTTTTAATTTGTTCCATCATGGTGCTGATATTCCTGTACTATTCGTCTGGCAGACTGCACTTACGGAGCCCAGTCCAGAAATCTCGTGAGTATACGTGTCGTCATATGACTGTTTTTCTCACATGGAACATGTGTTTTCCGTTCATTTTTTGGGTGAAGGTTTCTAGTAAATCTAAAGGTGTTGATCAGCTGATTAGGTGGGTTGGAGCTAAACGCTGTAGCCCTTCCGGATTCCTTGTTTCTACTAACATGCCTTTAAATGAGTAAAATGATTGTCAGGGTACAAGTGGTTAGTACAGCATGAATCCTAACTTCTATGATGCAGTTCAGTCGCTCTAGTTAGTCACACGCGTGAATCCCATTTAGAGTAAATGTTTGATGGTGGGGATCTTCGAAAACGCTTTTTGTTTCTCTGAGGTTCTTTTCATAATGTTAATGTTTAATTTCTCTGAACAGTGAGATGTCACAAGTCTAGATCTGGTTTTCCCCTGATACGTAATGCCTGAAATTAAGACTCACTGTCTGTGATTCTGCCTAGTCTTGCTGTTTGGCATCAGGTCACTGGGGAAGCCATGATCTTAAACTGAAAAGACCCTGGAAAATACAGGTTTGGTTTGCGATGATGGCCAGAGGAGGGAGCTAAGAGCCCATCGCTGACCATGTATTGTTCACCCCCTGGAAAAAGTCAAAAAAGTAGCCAGCAGGCTAAAAATGGTCAGTTTTGAAGACAAATGAATACACAAACCGTATTTCACAAAAGCACATTTTAAATGTGCCGCTGATAACCGCTTTCTCTATTGGTTTCTTTCACACTACAAGTTTTAGCTGTTACACTGTAGTTTCACATGCGTAACACAGCACCGCTACGATTGTATGTGTCAAGATAAATTTAGAAGCTGTGGTATCTGATATTATCTCCACCTCAAAACTAATATTTATATAATTTTACCGCTGAAAGAATCTGATTGATTTCTATTGACTTCAGAAAGATTGTTTTAATGTTTTCGATAGACGTCTCTTCTGCTCACCAAGGCTGCATTTATTTGATCAAAATACAATAAAAACAGTAACATTGTGAAATATTATTACTATTTAAAAGAAGTGTTGTCTAATGTGAATATATTTAAAAATGTCATTTATTCATGTGATGTAAAGCTCAATTTTCAGCATCATTACTCCAGTAAATAGTAATAGTAAACAGTAAATAAAGTTCAAAAGTTTGAAATGGAAATCTTTTGTAACATTATACATGTTTGTACGGTCACTTTTAATCAATTTACTGGATACTTGCTTAATAAAAGTATCGGTTCTTTAAAAAAAAAAATCGTACTGACCTCAAACTTTTGAAAGGTAGTGTATATTGTCACATATTCAAAATTGATTTGTGATTAAAGAGGTGAAAATGTGCAGTTAATGCATTAAAGAGAGTAAAAAGGACTGTAGTTGGTGTGGCCCGGTTGATTCATTAAATGTTGTTGAGTGTTCAAACCAGTAAATGTAGCTAGATGTTATCATCTACCATTAAAGACCTTTGATTTTATGTTTCATGTAATCATTTATGCAGTTAACAAAGTAATGACAAATAATATAAGCCTCTGTGTTTTCGCACACATTGGAACTGGGAATGATCTCTTTAACTAAGACTGATCAGCATTTGTTAGTAATTTTGCTGCAGTTTGCTTTTTGGCACATACAACAGACCAAAGCTTCAGGACATTTTCTCTTTCACCAGGCTGCTTCACTCTAAAATTGAACCACAAAATGCTACCATATTGCTTACTGTGTAACAAGTGCAAATCATAATCGCATATGTGCAAGAACAGAAAATCAGCTTTTCTCTGCGCACAGCCACACACAGACTTTGCTAGCGCTGCTGCATTTTGCACATTGCTTAAACAGATATGGTGTGGTTTTCTATGAATGTTTTTGACTCCCTCTAAAGTCCATCTGGCAGAAACACTTGACTGTAAATCAGAATTGAATTAAGTCTTGCTGTTTTATTCCGGATGTTGTCTAACTGTTTATCAGATTAGATGGAGTCCAACAAATAAAAGGGATGTTCCAGTAAAATGTCCCTTAAATGTTAAATGGACAGGTTTATTGATGTCTTACCCCACTGAGTAAAATACACTGGTAAAAGACAGGTGTACTGAGACTTTACTCTATTGTCTTAAATACACTGGTAATAGACAGGTTTACTGAGGTCTTACTCGCTGAGTAAAACACATTTGTAAAGAACAGGTATATTGAGGCCTTACTCTATTGTGTAAAATACACTAGTTATTGTATTTTGTTTTATAATTTTATGTCTTTTATGTATGTATCTTGTTCTTTTCTGAATGCACACATGTATTTCTCTTCTGTAAAGCACTTTGTAAACACTGTTTTAAAAGGTGCGATATAAATATAGCTTTGCTTTCTTAATTGCTTATACTGTTTATCAACACTTTTCTGTAGTCTGTCAATCACCTACTCTGCAGGTCAAATGTTGTCTTTTTTTTCTTTTCTTTTTTTCTTTTTTTTTGGTGTAGAAATGCATACTTAAAGGAATAGTTCACCCAAAACATCACCCTGAAAAGTTGCTCAACCTCAGGCAATCCAAGATGTAGATGAGTTTAGCATTCCATCACTTGCTCACCAATGGATGCTCTGCAGTGAATGGGTGCCGTCAGAATGAGAGTCCAAACAGCTGATAAAAAACATCACAATAATCCACAAGTAATCCACACCACTCCAGTCCATCAGTTAACATCTTGTGAAGTGAAAAGCTGTATGTTTATAAGAAACAAATCCATCATTATGTTGTTTCATAATTCATAATAACACTTTCTCCAGTGAAAAAGTACGTCTCCTGTTGTCCCTCGCATCAAAATCCACCCACATATTTGTGTAGAACTGTTTCGGACTGTTTACTCTTGTAAATGGTGCTTGATCTGTGCATATGTTTCTCCTGATTCAGACAAGATGACTTTTTCACTGGAGATGGAGAAAGCAATATTATGGATAGAGGACTCTCCATTTTAAGTTAAAACCATGTTAATGATGGATTTGTTTCTTACAAGCATGCAGATTTTCACTTCAAAAGGCATTAACTGATGGACTAGAGTGGTGTGGATTATTGTGATGTTTTTATCAGATGTTTGGACTGATGTTTCTGACGGCACCCATTCACTGCAGAGGATCCATTGCTGAGCAAGTGATGCAATTCTACATTTCTCCAAATTTGTTCTGATAAACAAACTAACTCATCTACAACTTATATGACTAGAGGGTAAGTAAATGTTCCTTTAAGCACAATTTATGTGTCTGGAAAACTAATTTCAAGTATTTAGGCAGAAGTTTTCCAAAATCATTTAAGATTCAGTCAAGTGTGTCCAGACTTCAAACCAGTATTGTAAATCACATTGCAGTAGCTAAATTGTGACCCTGGACCACAAAACCAGTCATAAGGGTCAATTTCTCAAAATTGAGATTTATACATCCTCTGAAAGCTGAATAAGCTTTCCATTGATGTTTGGTTTGTTAGGATAGGACAATATTTGGCCGAGATGCAACTATTTGAAAATCTGGAATCTGAGGGTGCAAAAAAAACATAATATTGAGAAAATCAGCTTTAAAGTTGTTCAAATGAAGTTCTTAGTGATGCATATTACTAATCAAAAATTAAGTTTTGATATATTTACAGTAGGAAATTTACTAAAGATCTTCATGGAACATGATCTTTATTCTTTACTTAATATCCTAATGATTTTTGGCATAAAAGAAAAATCGATAATTTTGACCCATACAATGTTTTTTTTTTGGCTAAATATACCCCAGCGACTTAAGACTGGTTTTGTGCTCCAGGGTCACAACTGGTTTATTAGCTGGTTAGTAAATTTGTAAAAATGTATGCATTGCGACATTTCTCATAGTTTTTCAGGAACTGCAGATGCCGAATGTGTGGTAACTTATGCTTGTTGTCCAGTTTCTCTCATATGTACAAAATTACTCTCTCATGCATACAGAATGCATTGTTTTATTATGCACTATAAGGGTGTATTTGTTGTCTGATCTGCTAACCAGTATATCAGATGCTGAGTGAAGTCACAGCCTTGTTTTGCTGGCATCACTGTAGTCCGGGTGCTGCTGTTAAACACTAAAGGCATCTGATCAGACTCAGACAGAGGTGATGACATGCCTGCTGTATGCTGAACTCACACTCTTGTGTTTCAGAGGCTGATTTGGATAGGTTACTCTCCGCGGGACGTGTAGTAGCTTCAGGTAGAGGTTTACCTGTATTCTACAATAATGTTGGGAGATTCATCTGTATAATTGCATTATAAAGGAGACCAATGTTGAAAACGGCTGTGCTTCTTCATATTTTTGTGGAAACCATGAAACATTTATCTCAGGATTCTTTGTTTAATAGAACGAAATTGAATAGAAATGTTATGTAACATTATAAATGTCTATACTGTCATTCTTGATCAATCCTTGCTGAATAAAAGTATACATTCCTTACCAACCCCAAACATTTAAATGTCTATATAAAACCATACATGTAACAGAGCAAGTTTGAGTCAAATTCTTGTTTTCTCAAGCAGCCTAGTTCAACATGGTTTAAAATACATGAAGTTTAAATAAAATATAAAATAATGAAATGACTAAATCACTAAATCTCCCAACATTATGAAGCTTCTCCGTTGTGTTTCTAGTACTTAAGCAGAATTTCCCCCTGCAAATTCAGTACAAAGACATCTGTCTGACATAATGACGAAGTTAATAAGGATTTATATGTTTATGCTTTGCAGATTTTTGTGCCATATCAAGCACTGGTGAAAAAGTCTTCTTAACACTATTAAAAAGGTCATAAACCTGGAATGATTTATATGATGTACTAAACATTGGTCTATTAATATGGAGTAAATATTAGTACAGTCCTTCCCATATTAAAATTTACAGTAATGATACAGCTATACTACTAATAATGTTGAAATCTGAATAAAGTACTGATAATGTTACTGGTTTTTAAATGATTAAATCAGTAAGAAAGGTATTTTTCCAGCAAGATGCAACTGAAAGTCTATCAACAATGTCTGCGACCTGCAAATACTTTATTGGTGTTTATAAAAATGAATGTGTTTACAGTAATACACGTGTAAACGTTTAAAACATGCAGCTATTCTGTTGTTTTAAAGGCATAGCCATTAGACGTGTCAGCATGTCACAGATGTTGTCGGTAGAGCTTAAGCTGCATTTGACCCAGAATTGTTCTTGAGTGATGCAGTGATAACAGGTGGCAGGTAGCTGAGAGAAGCACTGTGATCGCATGCAGTGATTTCTGCTGTGACTAACACCTGCTGCAGCTCCTGCGACCTCTAATGCAACACTCGTCTGTCCCGGCAACCCAACTACCCTGAGAGCTTGTGTGCCTGCATCTCTTTCTTTCTCTCTCTCTGTTCATTTGTTATGGGTCTCATTCGTTCACTCATTTGTTTTTTTAGCTTTTTTTTCATTCGTTTTTTCATTCTTGCTTTGTGTCTTTCGTTCTTTCTTTAATTATAAATTTTTTTTTGTTCTTTTTGTTTGTTGGTTCTTTTGTTTCTTTCATTAATTCATTATTTTCTTTCTTCATTTGTTAGCTGCTTGTTTCGTTTTTTTTAATTTTGTTATTTTTTTCTTTCCTTTGTTCTTTTTTATTCATTCGTTTGTTAGTGCTTTCTTTGTTTTTCATTATGTTTCTTTCGTTCTTTTTTCACTCAATCATTTGTTAGTTCTTTGTTTATTTACTACCTTCTTTCTTTTTCTGTTTGTTTGTTTATTAGTTCTTTCTTTGGTTCTCTCATTCGTTCACATTTGTTTCTTTCATTTGTTTGTTCATTCTTGCTTTGTTTCTTTTGTTCTTTCTTTTGTTGAAGGATTAGTTCACTTCCAGAATAAAAATGTCCTGATAATTTACTCGCCCCCATGTCATCCAAGATCTTCATGTCTTTCTGTCTTCAGTCGCAGAGAAATGAAGGTTTTTGAGGAAAGCATTCCAGGATTTTTCTCCATATAATGGACTTCAATGGGAACCAACGGGCTGAAGGTCAAATTGCAGTTTCAGTGCAGCTTCAAAGAGCTCAACACGAACCCAGCCGAGGAATAAGGCTCTTATCTAGAGAAACCATCAGTCATTTTCTGTACCGACCCAGTGTTTACAAAGCAAGCGTGCAAAGAAAGTCAAACGCCTTGCGTTGCCCATGCGTGAATTTGCAGACGTGTATCGCAGAGCTAATGCAAAATGTGCATTTGTGGTTAAAAAGTATATAATTTTTTTTTTCTTTTTTTAGAAAATGACTGACTGAATTTTTGTTTTCTTACTTTGCTTTTTCTTTCTTTTTTTCTGTTTGTTCGTTTGTTAGTTCTTTGGTTCTCTCATTCATTCGCTGTTTTTTTTTTTACTTCTGTCTTTCGTTTGTTCATTCTTGCTTTATTTCTTTCGTTCTTCCTTTTGTTAATTTGTAAATTTTTGTTTTCTATCTTTTTTGGTTTGTTGGTTCTTTCTTTGTTTCTCTCATTCATTCGCTCATTTTTTAGCTCTTTCTTTCATTTGTTCGTTCATTCTTTGTTTCTTTCATTTATTCATTTTCTTTCTTTTTCCTTATTTGTTAGTTGTTTATTTGTTTTTAATTTTGTTCTTCTTCCTTTCATTTTATCATTATTTGCTGCTTTCGTTCTTTTTTCTCTTAATCATTTGTTAGTCCTTTCTTTCTTTCCAAGGTTATTTTTAGATCTGTAAATGATCTATTTTTTAAGGGTTCATTCTTTTTATGTTTATTGGTTTTCTTTTGTCTGGAAGTAACAAAACTTTGTAAAATCTTTTTGTTTGGAACTGTCCTCATGATAACTGTTGTAAAATAGGTCCTCATGGGTAAAACTTTTTTACTTGGTTCAGTGAACTGTCCAGTCAAATGTTGCACAAACATCCTTGTGCTTATCTTACTTGATATCAGCCAATCCTCTATTTATGATTTCATAAACATCGTATTTAATCTTTATTCATTTTATCAGCTTACACATTCTTATAAGAATTACATCCTTATCATTTTTTAGTCAGATAATGTTGTGTGATGACGTTAAGCTATATAATTAACTCACATAGCTGTGCTAGTTTCGTATCCCTCAAAAGTTTCATGCTCTTTTTTTATTCTTACACCAATCAACGTTTGACGTCCATATTGTGAATGTACATCGTTTCATCAAATATTTCGGAAATGTTTGGCCAGAAGCATACTTAAGGCAAGAATGCAAATGCTTGACTAATGCATTACAAGTACACATTCCTTGTGTAGTACTTGTGTTACTGTGGAGGTAATCAAGCTGGTGATAGTTACCATCATATGTCACTGGTAACTAGGCGTGTGCTCCACTAAAGCAAAAATGCTATGCAAACTTGCATTGTGTAATCGATTGTGTTCTGCAGTATATTTGTATTTCCTTTTTTGCATAGAGTATGATTCAGCATTTTTCTATTCAGAGTAATTGCTACTATCGAATTCCATTTTACTTAAATTCCATATTCAGTTTGGTTTTAATTGATTGTTTTTGTGCTACTGACTGTCACATGTGCCGCCCATGTTGGTCTATAGACCGTAAACAGCCTCTCACATTTCTTTCTGTGGAACTGCAATAATAATCTCTTTCTTTATAACCTGTGCTTAACAACACATATCCTTTTCTGCCAAAATATTTCCATCCCTTCCTGTTGGCACAGTGACGATAACACACTGCATCTTCTTTCTCTTTCAGGGACATAAACTCTGTTGATTTCTTGTATTTCTTCTTTCTTTAGAATACGACAAGCAGGGATTCCTTACCAAGCATGACAAAAAACTGTAAGTAACATTAACATGCACTCTTAATGAGAAAGATTTAGTGAAAAGATGCTCATTATACAAGAATGGTTTCCAATCCCAGAATGCCTAGTGACAAGTCTGCTGAAACAGAAAATTAAATACCATTAAGTACCAATAAGCACTGACTGTAATATTTCAGTTTAATTTAAAGGGGTCATATGATGCTATTTTAACGATAATTATTTTGTGTATTTGGTGTAACAGAATATGTTGACATGCTTTAATGTTCAAAAAACACATTATTTTTCAAATACTGTTCGTTATTGTAGGTCCTCTATGCCCCGCCTCTCTCAAACACTTTACTCTGCGCTGCGCAAAACTCCGCATTTGAACAGTCAATAGCAAATACTTAACTAATAACAAAACATACTTACAGTCGCTGATTCAGAAGCACCAGATTGTAATAGCAAAGTCGGAATTTACCCTTTTTTTTTTTTTTTTTTTTTTTTAAATAACCTTTGTGCACAGCCATCCTTCTAGGTTCAAAAAACTGTCGTCCATAAAATGCGTTGCACAAATTCGAACATCTGGGTTGTGCTGGTCTGTAAATAAATCTTAACCAATGATTCCTAATTGCATCTACTTCCGGAAGGCCAAATAAAGTGCTTTTGCTTTCGCACTAAAACACACATCTTCTCCCTGACATGCTGCGTCAACACTACTGCTGTTACTGAAACCACACCTTCTTTCTTTGCGTGCACAATTGGGCGGCATTATGCTAATATTCCCACATCGTGACGTAGACATGTGGGGGCGTGTTAGAACGAGCCGTTTTAGGTCGGCGTGGTTAACTCTTAACTTTTATAAAGAATATCTCTTTGGATTTGAGACTTTAGTCTTTGCAACTTAACAGATCTTCTCTATGCACCAAGAGCTTGTAACACTCCAAAGAGAAAGGAAAACTTGAAATCGCATCATATGACCCCTTTAAATAACTACTACTAATTTCTTTAACTGCTTCACCATTCATGAAATCTTTATGCTACTTAAGTCTATATTACAGCCACAGTTTAAATGTTAATATTTTAACAAAGAATTAGAGGAGAAACAGAATTATATCATTAAAAAGTTGATAAAAACTGCCTTTTGTGTAATTTAAATGTGTGTATATACATTTATATATATACACACACACACACATATATATATATATATATATATATACACATATATGTTAATTTATATAAATAATATTAATTTAATAATATTATTATTAAATATATACAACATAAAGTTGATTTAACTAATTGATTATTAAAGAAACTTTTTTTCTTTTCGGTTTCAGTTTTTGGTTAAATGAAAACTGTGAATAATCTATTTCTATGTACAAGTTACTCTAATATATAATCTCTTTAACTATTATAGAGGGGGAAAAAGAGAAAAAAATTATATAGTTATTTTTAATACAAAAATTGTTCATGTTTTATGTTAACACAGACTATCAGCCCAACATTTTATGCTGTCTTGGAGTCTTCCATGAATTTCTATTTGTATGACACACAGAATTGTTATCTCTGTTCCAAACGGTTCCATTTCAGTTAGGATGTTGCCTTAGAAGGCAGCTGCCTATGTAGGGCAAGACTGCTCACTAGGTTTTGTAACAGAATTTGAGAGTGTGCATGTATGTGTGAGTTCACTTTTGCCTGTACTGTCCAGCAATTTGTCTCTCTTTATAACTCGGCTTGTTGTTTATTTGAGCTTTACTTTGGAAGGATAATTAATGGTGCCCTAAAGCATTTCAAATGAATGATCTCTTGGCTCTCACCCAGCCTTGTCTGATTTAACAGTCCTGATTGTATCTGTATGGGAGGTCCGTTTACCCGAAGTAAAACATGGCTCAACCTCTCTTATTACCATTAACGGCCACCTGTATAAATGGCACTGTCAACAGGTCATCTTTATATGTCCAGCACTCACAGTATTGATGTAAACTTACTAGAAAGTTTCCATTTGCCGGCCTGTGAATTAGTGGGTTTATTCTGGCGCTTATATAAAATAAACTACTCCTCACACAAGTTGTCATCTCATTGAGCAGCCTTTAGCGTTGTACATCCTCCGGGCACCATGAGCTCGACACAGCTGCTTTCCCCTCTCTCCAGACCACAAAGCATTTAATAAGATATAGAGCTGTTTTATGCATGTTAATCTGCTTGAGAATGAATGAACTTCCATAATCGTCAAATTTAAGTCAGTATGGTCTGGAGCATTTTAAATTACTCTGCAGATTTATTAGGAATTAAATGTTATGTTCATTTAACTTGCAGCCATATTTCGAATAAAATCTGTGTTGTGCATGATTTAAATTTCACTAAATGACTTGGTTTTGGTTAGAATAATTTAATGTGAGTTTTAATGGTACACAAATGTTCAAAAGTTTGTGGTCGGTAAGATTTTTTTTTTTTAAATTTGGAAAAAATTTTAGCATTTAATTACTTGTAAATACAGTAAAACAGTAATTTTGTAAAATATTATTACTATTTAAAAAAACTTGTTTTCTATTGTAATTTTCAGCATCATTCCTCCAGTCTTCAGTGTCACATGATCTTCAGAAATCAGTATAATATGCTGATTTGCTGCTCAAGAAACATTTCTGATTATTATCAATGTTGAAAACAGTGCTGCTTCATATTTTTGTGGACACCGTGATACAGGTTTTTGATAAATAGAAGGTTAAAAAAGCATCGATTTAAAATGGAAATCTTTTGTACCAATGTAAAAATATTTACTGTGACTTTTTATCAGTGTAATGCATCCTTGCTGAAATTAAGTATTTATTACTTTCACCAAAAAAAATAATAAAATCTAAACGTTTATTGCAAAGAAAAGCACATTTTGCAGAACGAAGTTTGTCCGATTTGAAGTGATAAAGTAGTAAATATGTGTTGAAAGTGTTGAAAATTAAGACTTGTGACACTGTGTTTGTGAACCGCTAGTGGAACATGTCAGTGGTTAATGTGGTTTTCTACACCAGTTAGATTACTCTTCTTCTGTCTTTGGTTCACAGGCCTCTGGAGCTGCAGTATAAATATGGTAATCTCAGTAAAGGCGAGTGTAAACCTGGTTACGCAGAGGCCAAGATGACTTCAATCTATCCAAAGTAAGCTGATCCCATCGTACATGTGTGAAATACTAGAAGTTCACAATATTATATTTGTAAATGTGCATGCAGACACGCACCTCATTCTTCTGCTGTTTACAGCCCTGCAATTTAGATAAATAATTTAGATTTAGATGAATGACATTAAAGGGTTAGTTCACCCAAAAATGAAAATTAGCTTGTGTTTTACTCACCCCCGAGACAGGTGTATATGACTTTCTTCTTTCAGACGAATCCAGTCGGAGTTATATTAAAAATTGTCCTGGCTATTCCAAGCTCTATCATTGCAGTCAGCGGGTGTTACAGTTGAACAGTCCACAAGTCGTCAAATAAAGCTTGCGCATTCATAATGAAACGTGCCGCAGACGACTCCGGGGGTGAATAAAGGCCCCCTGTAGTGAATCCATGAGTTTTGTAAGAAAAATATTGATATTTCAAATGTAATAAACACTTTTCTCTCACTTCCGTTATCTGCCATACGCGGATCTGTTCCGGCGGAAGGCGTATGACGTATGTGCAGCGCGTGCGCCTCTGAGATATGCTAGTCTCACTAGTTTGTTTAACAGGAGCAAAGGAACCAAAGTTTCCTTACTTTAGCAAAGGAAAACCAGTCTCCTCTTTTTTTATATCGAAATCCTCCGACATTTTTCTTTGCAAATCTTCGGTTTGTACTTTTAATTCGTGACCGGCGTTTTGTTTTGTTCTCTCTCCGCATTCGTCGCTAATCACGCAACGCCGCGCGTCTTACGTCATCCGCCGGAACTGCTTCAGTGTATGACAGGCAGCGGAAGTGAGAGAAAAGTGTTTATTACGTTTGAAATATGGATATTTTTCTTACACAAACACATGGATTCGCTACAGGGGGGCCTTCCCCCGGAGCCGTCTGCGGCACGTTTCATTATGAATGCACGAGCTTTATTTGACGACTTGTAGACTGTTCAACTGCAACACCCGCAGACTGCAATGATAGAGCTTGGAATAGCCAGGACAATTTTTAATATTACTCCGACTGGATTCGTCTGAAAGAAGAAAGTCATATACACCTAGGATGCCTCGGGGGTGAGTAAAACACAAGCTAATTTTCATTTTTGGGTGAACTAACCCTTTAAGACCAGGAACATGAAAGTACAAAGAGTTTACTCTTCTTGACCTTTCCGAGAAATTACAAGATTTCTTTATCGGTTCTATACAAGCATTTCTGGTCAGTTACTGGCAAGCTGGTTACTGTTGCAGATACATGAGCTCGACCAGATGAAATCATCTTGAAAGTGCACAGAACAAATCTTATACTGGTAACCAGCAATACAATTTTAACTGGTTTTAACCAGCTTTACGGGTTAAGGCTGTTTTTGTTTGTTTATTTGTTTTTCAGAAGGCGTGAGAACATACAGTAGAAAGGAAGAGAACAGTTATCACAGTTTTGTTGGCTACATAAGACTTGACCTTGTTCTTGGGATATGTCTTTTCTTTTTATAATAGTGCATCACTTCATGTGTGTTGTGTAGTTTGTCTTCAACCCATTACACAGTGAGGATGCAGTGCTCTTGAGAGGAGCATAAAAAGACATTTCTTTTCTCTTTTAAATAATTCAGTGTCCGAGAAGATTCCCCACCGTGAATGCTCTTTATCCCCTATATGTTGATTTAAGGCATGTTTCAGAACTGTGTCCAGTTCTTTTTTTGGGTCTGTTGTGCTCCTCTGGGCTCCCAGTGCGTGAGAAACCCGCGCTTCTGATTCACACGACTGACACGCAAAGCTTTCCTTTAGCTGCAAGATTTCTGCCTGCACCTTTGAGATTAATATAAACCACAGTTATGGATCTTATTAATTATTATATTATCAGAATCCTTTTAAAATCACGCTTTTTTTTATTCTTATGTGGGCTGCATACATACATTTGATTGTGTGTTGAACTTTTGGTTGATTTTTGGTTTTCTGGTTCTTGGTACAGGTCACGGCATCACAATCAGAAATTGAAATACATAGTTAATAGTTTATTTTTAGAACTAGATTTTTTCATTTGTGACATTATTTTCATGGCAATTAAAGATAAGCACATTTTCTGCATTTCTGTCTGGACATTTTACTTGAGTTTTTTTTCCTTGTAATTCTCATTAAAAATATATTATTATTAATAAATAATGCAATTAATCAAAATAATAAATTCTTTCTGGTCATCGTGCAACATAAACATTTCATTGGAACATTTTTATAAATAAAGGAAAGGATTATTTTTCTTTTGTTTGATTTTATTTGTTTAAAACATTATAAAACATTATTTTCATCATTTAATTCAAATATTAAAAATATTAACCACCATATGAATGTTTGCTTTTCATCTGTTAAAGGGATAGTTCACCAAAAAAAGATAATTTACTCCCCCTCATGTCGTTTCAAACCTGTATGACTTTCTTTCATCTGTGGAACATAAAAGAAGATAATTTGAGAAATGTCTTAGTATTTTTTTTTCGTACAATAGAAGTCAATGGTGACCAAAACAGTTTGGTTACCAACATTCTTCGAAAATGTCTTCTTTTATGTTCCGCTAAAAGAAAGGAAGTCACACAGGCTTGAAATGACATTAGGGGGAGTAAATGCTGACAGAATTTTCATTTCTGGGTGAACTGTCCCTTTAAATAGAGCTGAGTTGTGTAAAAATGGGGCTCAGGGCCAGATCACATGACTCAGGTTGGTCTTGATGCTGAATCTTTCTGGGTTAAGTGGAGTCAGATGGGAATATTAAATAGACCATGACATCTACAGTATTTGTTGAGACACTAAACGTACGACATCTAGTTAGCCATGTAATTAGCATCTGACACGCTTTGTTGAACATGATCCGGCGACCTGTTTACAGTCTGACCACTTCTCTGGAAATAAAAGCACAAATTCAGCCAACCGGTAATAATCAAGCGCACACATGTATATGTGTGCTTACAGCATCACATACCAGTTACGGTTGAGTCATAAATGCATCCTGTTATGAATAGGGCTAGTGTATGACAAGGCCACTCTTTGGCAGCTCAGAAGACTAATCAGTTCTATTTAAATCATTTGCATTGAACTTTGATCCTTGATATCAGTGTCCTTTGAAGAGATATAAATGAGTCAGAATTAAAGGAGTCAGTTAACACGGTTCAAAGACAAAAGCAGTTTCAAGCATAAAAAAAATGAGTTTAATACAGCTTTATTTTTTTATAAATATTTTTATAGAATTTGTCCTGTTTAATTTCTCTTTTTTTCCTGAGCAAAAAAAAAGACAGATTTTTACCATGATTTAGAGTAGACGCCCACTAAAATGTCATTCAGTGTAATGATAATAGTTCATATAACAATAAATCTCGTCAGTCATATAGGTAGATGGCGTTTAAAGACTATTAAAGGATCACAGTGCAGCCCCGAAAAACGAATCAATTGTCATTTTAAATCTTTGCCACAATCCTTCAAACCACTAGGTTTTATCCATTTGTAAGCAAGACGTTTTTAATCATTTCAAATATAATTCAATTTAATGTGATCACTTATTCTTTTATATACTTTAATAAGTACAGGTCAAAATAAGTATGTTGTTTCAATTTTACATGAATATATCTGTCACTCTGAATGAAGATGGAACATTATTTCACCCATATCTTGACATTTTATTTTCACAAATGTGACCCTGGACCACAAAACCAGTCATAAGGATAAATTTTTTTAAATTGAGATTTATACATCATCTGAAAGCTGAATAAATTAATAATAAATATTCATTATTTATTATTGAATATCCATTCAATCCATTATTAATAAATAATAATAATAATTTTTCAATTGATGTAAGGTTTGTTAGGATAGGACCATATTTGGCCGAGATACAACTATTTGAAAATCTGGAATCTGAGGGTGCAAAAAAAATCAAAATATTGAGAAAATCACCTTTAAAGTTGTCCAAATGAAGTCCTTAGCAATGCATATTACTAATCAAAAATTACGTTTTGATATATTTACAGTAGGAAATTTACAAAATATCTTCATGGGACATGATCTTTACTTAATATCCCAATTATTTTTAGCATAAAAGAAAAATCGATAATTTTGACCCATGCAATGTTTTTTTGGCTATTGCTACAAATTCAATTCAATTCAAGTTTATTTGTATAGCGCTTTAAACGATACAAATTGTTTCAAAGCAACTTTACAGCAAATAAAGTTTCTACAATATTTAGTGGTAGCTTATCAGTATCAGTACAAATATACCCCGGCGACTTAAGAATGGTTTTGTGGTCCAGAGTCACATATGTTATTTGAAACATTACAATAGAACATTTAATATGTTTTCTGTGTATATAAAATCACTTTTGTAAATTTAATTTGATATGCCGTCTTTGACCTACAGTCAAATATAAAATGAATGTGGATGGCTACTCAAAGAATTTGATGAGAACGTTCATATTGAGATCTCCGATTTTTCAGACTTCGGTATCTTTCCAGATCTGAGCACAATTTGAGTCATTTAATACCTTTTGAAAATGTTCTTGGCAACAATCTCTAAGAAACACTTTTTATGTTTTGTTTTAATAGCGAGAAGGTTAAACTTCCATCTAAATTGATTGAAACGCCTCCTGAAACTTCCTGAAAAGGTTCATCTCAACATATGTTCTGTGAAAATATGGCCTTTTAAAAATTGGTATTATTATCAAATGAATATCTGATTACAATTTAGGACTCGCATATGCTGTAATCCTAGTAATTATGAAGGGTTCACATACTTTTCTCGCAAGTGTACGTGTTTGGAAGATCAAGCCGGTGAGAAACGCGGGAGTGTGTGTCACCTTCACTTAAACTGTTGGGATGTGAGGAAGCGCAGAGTCTCGGCTGTGGTCGTGGGAATCGAATACACCGGACCACCTGTGTCATTAGTGCATTACTCCAGGGGTCGGACAGCTGCGTACAGCATGACGGAAGTGTTCAGGTGTTGTTTTGTCAGCCAGTCAAATGTTCGGGGTAGTTTGTGACGT